TCCTCCTTCCTTCCCTATCTGAGCTTCTCTGCTACTGTGGAGAAATTCGGAGAGGGGAGAGAAGGGGGGGGGATGTTTCAATGCCTCTAAGAGATCCAAACTCTTTCAGCCTTGCCCTGGGCTCCTGCCAGCTTGGGCAGGCGGGGGGGGGAGGCATTGACACATCCCCCCCTTACCTCTCCTCTCCGAGTTTCTCCACAGTAGCGGAGAAGCTCAGATAGGGAAGGGAGGAGGAGGAGGCATGATTCCATGCCTGCCCTTCCCTTCTCCAGCCAGCCTCCAGAGATCCCAGCCCCTTCAGCCTTGTCTGTCCTTCGCCCGCCCACCCAAGCCTGCAAGAGCCCAGGGCAAGGGTGAAAGGGCTTCACCCTTGCCTTTCCTCCCCCCCCGCCTACCCAAGCCCACAGGAGCCCATGGATCCAAGCCCCTTCAGCCTTGTTTCCCCTCCCCAAGCCCAGGGGAACCGAGGGCAAAGGCTGACGGGGCTTGGATCCCAAGACCTTTCAGACTTATCTCACCCCCCCCCGCCCAAGCCTGTGGGAGCCCGGGGCAAGGGTGAAAGGGCTTGGATCTAAGAGATCTCTTAGCTCGGAGTGTAGCATGTGCAAATAAATCATGCTAATTAGTTATGCTAATGAGCTCCTGCACCTTTTTTTTTAACGAAATTACCCCTGGTCACTTCCCTTTTTTTCTTAGTTCTCATCATTTAAAAACAAATTCTAGTATTAAGATGCAATAGGTCTTAATTGTTACAGAATTTAATAAAGAGCCTCCAGTTCTTTAGAAAAATATTTTTTCTTCGTATGTAATTAGTTACTTTTGCAACTTGTGCATAATTCCATTGAGCTATTCCTTTGTCAGTGGAAATTTTTATAGTCTAGTACTTTACAATGGTAGGGATGCACAAACCTGTAATTATTTTTATTCTGTAATGAGCCCTGCTTCATCCTTACTTGAGTTAATTTCCTTTTCCCTTTTTTTGAGTTTGGATAATTCTTTTCTACTAATATGACATATGTTTTATACTGGGTTTTAAAATGTCTGTTTTCTAGCAGTCTGGTTTAAGATGTCAGCTTGAAAAAGTGATTAAATTGTGAAGAGTTTAAAAACATAATTTCTACTTCCCAGAGGAGTGAATAGACTGGCATGCTCTATTATTTTGATTTTCATGTGGCAAAACTAGAAGGGACAGGGAGGGATGTGGAGCTAGCCTCACCTACTCAGAAGCCAGCAGGGACAGAGTTGTACAACATCCTCAGTTTTACTGAACAGCAAATTGTAACGAGGTCCAATGAACGGTGTTGCTACTCCATCTGCCCAGTATAGCACATGTGCCTTTACAAGCTGCTCCCAGGGGCCACAGGGAGAAAGGGTGAGCTGTCTCTAGCATAGCATGCATATGAGTGAGGCAGACTTTCTGATAGTAAGGCTGCCCGAGGAAGGATGTTCCAGGAGCCAGTCTTGAATTGCTGATTGAGTAGAGTGGCAAAAACTACATTGGTCATGCTCCAAGGTCTCCCTGCTGAATCACCACCTGTACAGAAATGCGCTCTGATGGCAAACAGCACAGATGCCAGACTGGCCACAGCCATTGCCTGTGGGGTCCTGGCAGAGTCTACGGTTCAACCCCCATGGGGGGGGGGTTACATTTGCCAGGGAAACCCCCCCGAGCCCCATTCTGTAGCCAGCCAAATGTCTCTTACTCCTGTGAGGAAGTGCTCTGCAACTGCTCCATCCATTGCTACTGTGGCAGCATTAAAAAAATGGGTCCCTTAGTTGTCTGGTCAGCTAATTGACAGAGCACAGTGGGGCAGCTTCCAGTCACCCAAACCTTTGGTGTGGGAGTCAGAATGGTTGAGGTGGCATCCAGGCTCATGCGAGTAGGATGGGGGAGACACGTGTGGACTCCTGTGATGGGGCAGCTGGATTTCTGCCCTGTCAGTGCATGGTCACCCCTTCAGGTTGAGCCTCCAGAGATGGGATGCCTGTTAGGGTTCTGAAATGAGGCATGTTAGCCACAAGGTCTGAACTTTCTTCCCATTGGGTGTTAATGCTAAGTGCTCCCTCAGTGATCCTCAGTACCCTCTCTCTACCTCTCCCACGATCGAAGTGCAACATTGTGTATTCTAAGCGTGCATGGCAGAAACTTCTGAGGCAGAGTCCTGTGCTGCACGCCCTACCTACTGAACTATAGGGTGTCCTGGCTGGGGTTTATGTAGTGATGGGGGGTGGGTGGGATTGGGTGTGGGGATGGGGATGGGGAAGGTGATTTGGGCTTTGCTGGGGAGGGGGTGACTGATTGTAGCTGTAGCTGGCATTTTGTGCTCTGCTCTGCCATGCTTTGAGATGGGACCTTTTCTGTGTGAGGGCATGCTCGGCCTCTCTGGTTGTATGGACTATGTCATGGTTTTTGATGGTGTAAATTTCAGCTAGTTCATGGACTTAGGGAGCTGACCTGCTATGCCCCTAGGGCAGTGGTTTGTTCTGTACTGCTCCGTGCCATTGCTGTGCCAGTACCCAGTGAGATATTCTGGTGTATCTTGGAGATATCCTGGTCATGCACCTTGTTGGCTCCCTGTGTGTTTTCCCCACCCCCATTAGTGTGCTGTTAGTCTCTAATAGGTATACCTTTATCTTTTCATTTTCTCTCACCATTATTGCCAGTGATTCTAATGCTATCACAAATATCTATGGTGATAATGGATGCCCCAACCTCTACATCAAAGCAAAATGCCTCCAAAACATGAAATAAAAAGCCCATTCATTGTTGTCTATTTTCCCTGCATCTAAAATCATTTATAAACCATTTATCTACTCTTGTGTTACCAGATAATGTCTTGTTTCAATCAAATTAGGACTATGGGTATGGTATAGAAAAGTATATTTCTATGCTGGGCAACATATTTCTAAACCAAGCCAAATTACAAATACTTCTTCAGGTTAAAAATATCCCACTTTTCTTTGTGTGTGGTGGCGGCAAGAGTCATTGTGTTTCACAGTACCCAAACACCCGAAACATGAAAACATGAGCTGTAATGTTTCTTTTGAGTAGTATCACCTTCCCTTTCTGCATTTTAAATAATGTGTACCAGTTCTGTTCCCATATAGAACTATAATTTTTGTTTGGTATTTGAAATAACATAACTGTCTTTTGAACCTGTAAGTTGCAAGTGGCTTACTTTGGTGACATTGTCCTAAAAGGAAAAGTTGTAGAACCAATTCTGCATGCATTTTGCCAAAAAATGTGCAACTGGGGTGGAAATTTATTCCATACAAGCCACACCAGGTTTTAAACTGGTATTGTTTTGTGTCCCCTGGGGGAGTCCATTTCTGGGTGGCTTAACAAAACTTATTTATTTGATTATTCATTTATCTTTTTGTTATTGTTCAGAAACCATTGAATCGATGAACAATCGCATGGTAGAAATAATGAAGATATTTGAAAGGCAAACAAATAAGCTGCACAGGTAAATTTTATGTGTTGCATTTTTGCACAGACAAACCGTTTTAAGTCATAACATATATCAGTTATATTATCTGTTCTCACATGAACACAGTGGTCACACCTGGAAAGGTCTCTTAGGACATTACAGTTATTTTCTCACCACTTCAGTGCATATGCTCATGCGTATACAACACCAGGCCGTTATGGATGCCTCCCATATCCCTCTCCAATTTGCTCCCACCAATTGGTACAAGTTCAGAACTCACAAGTCTTCACTGCACAGGTTAGGGCTGGATGGGGATAATGGATGTGTGCACAGACTTGCTTCCTGTCATGGTGTGGTATGTTGAGTGCCTGTACATTTGTGTTGGGTGGGGGTAGCAGTGGAAAACAGTGCCCTGCGTACCCTCTGCCAATCAATCCACCCATGGCCAGAGTATGCATGTAGGGATGGTTTTATGAACCATAGCTTTTTGGCATTTTTAGTCCTTCCTTCTGCTGAGGATATAAAGAAAGCATGTGTAGTTCTTTCCACATTGCACAACAGTCCTGTAAAACAGATGATGCTCAAGAGAGTGACTGCTCCATGCTCTTCGTGGCATATTGGATATTTGAACCCAGGCTTTACCACTCCTTGTTTGACACTAACCACAGCACCAAACTGGCTCCCAGTGTGAAATATAACAAACAGAAGATATGTTTATAGTTACATGCAAAATTTGAGTCTCAAATATTCACATATGTATTTGTGATATCAGCTGTTTTAAAGTGATACTTCCCTTTAAGCCTCATACTTTTCTGTTAGTGCATATTTAATTTAATTCTCTTTCTAATATATGTTATATAAAAAGTACAAAAAAATAGAGACTTAATATGTAGAAATGGGCAGCTGAAGCTTTTGTTAGCATGGAGGTAAATAACATCACCTGACAAATAACATCACACTGAGTCTCTGCTAAAGGTACAAGACATTTTTCTCCAGGTACTAGGTAACCCTACAAGTAGGACCTCATAAGCAGTTGTTGGAAAACAGAATAAGCAGAAGACTGAATTTTTATTACTTTGCTCTCCTTTCTTTTGCAGTGAACTACTTGTTTGGGGGGAGCACTGGACTCAAAGTTTCCTTTAAACCTTGTCCCTTTTCCCCCTTGAGATTGTTTTGTTGGTGGTGCTGCTCAATACCTCTGTCCCCAAAATGATTGTAAAAGAATTGGGCCCAGAGAGAGAACACCACAAAGAACATTTTCACTGATGACTAATTGACCCAAGTTGATTGATTTGGGAGTCCAGACTGTATGAGTGTGCTAGACTCTTAAATCAATAATTAGAAGAGATGAGCTTAGTTGAAGGGACTCAGAGGCCAGATGATTACTGTTACTTTGCAAAACTCTCTGCCCTAGTGGCCCAGGGCCTAGTTAGTGAATTACATAGTTTTGTGGTAAGGCAGAGGGCTTTTTTTGTTCCCCTAGAGTTTTTCTGTCAAATATGAACTTGCTTGGCTATAAGGTCATCCTTTGCAGTCACACACACGACAGCGGACTCATCTACAATAGCAATGTGGGGCCTGGCCTTGCTGGAGCATGGTGTAGAGGGAGGAGGGACTTGAGCCTTCCCTCCCGTGTGATTTACATGAGAAGAAAAAGCTGCTGGGGGGGAGTCTGTTTGCCTTGCTATTGGGTTCACTTGACCTGGGATCATGTGAGTCCCCCTGCCACATGTGTGACTGACTGCAGGTTAGGGGGGCTCTTACCCGACTTGCATCACATGTATCATGAAGTTAGGCTCTGTTCCATGTCTGGATTAAAAAAGAGTGGCCACAAGAGCAGGGCCTCTTCTGTGGTGGCACCTTGCATAGGGACATCCTCCTCACAGTTATCCAGTCATCACTAAGCTGGTTAAATTTTTGGTATCAGCTTAGAATTTTTATATTTTGTTTACTAAGGCCTTTAGTTTATTAGTTCTGCCCACCCTCTGTTAAACTCTCTCTGAACAACAATGGGAGAAATCTTAAACAGATTACTTGGAACCAAGTCCTATTTTATTCAATAGGGCTTACTCCCGGAAATGTTTATTAATTTACTGAATTTATTCTCTACCTTTCTTCTCAATGGGGATCAAAAGCAGTTTGCGTTGCTGTCCTTTCCACCCTTTTGCCCTTGCAACAGCTCTGTGTGGTAGGTTAGGCTGAGAGTTGTGACTGGCCCAAGGACCATTTCCATACCGGTTATCTACTTTGGATTCAGTGCTGTTGGGAAGCAGGTTCCCCCCCACACACACCTTTCTAGGGTTTCTCAAACTTTTCTCTGATCTCTCTCATCTTGTTTTGCTGAAAGATTTTGGGAAAGATTGCAATAAAACCTGGATGGCTGACATTTGTGTGTGAAAGTTCAGATTTTTCTACCCACATCGTTATATTGATATAATGTTTTAATAATATGTGTCACAGGTTTTCTGAATTCCCAACTTTCATATTTTTTAAAAAAGCACCTAGGCCCTTCTATTGTGGAGATACATCAGGAAGGGCATTGCTCTGTCACAGATCCAGAGAACATGTTACACATACTGTTATGTTATATTGATATTATGATATTCAGTTGCCAATTGTTTCTTAATTGAAAAAGCCCCTGTGGCCTGAGCGAGGGGGCATGGCTGTTGCTGGGGAATTGGGGGCAGGGAAACTGTGGGGGAACCTGTCATGCGGAAGCCTCATTGCTACTGTGTTGTATTGGCAATAGCACCAGCAATGCTATACAAGCCTGTCCCCACTGGAAACCATCAGGGTCACCCAGCCAGCTTCCATGGCAGAGTGGGGATTTGGACCAGGACCTTCCAGATTGTAGTCTGACACACTAACCACTACACCACACTCGTTCTCTAAACTGTTCTTAGGATTGCATCTTATAACTTATAATTGTGACATGAATCTGTGATACACACATAGAAATCACTGTGAACATGCTTTTCTCTCATTTCACATGATATAAATTTATAATAGTTTGCTTTTCATGAATTTTTATATAATGCAAACTAAGAACTCTTTTAACATTTTTGTTTTTTTAGAGTTGCAAATGAACAAGATGTCCTTGAAGGTGTAAGTATGGTTTAATGATCTAAGCTTGTGCGAATGTTCAGAACAATCATTTGATACAAAAAACAATAATAGATAAAAAGGGCTAAAGCATTTCATGTCTTTAATATAACAAAGGAGGTAAGTTTGAAACAGCTACAATAAAACTAAAATTTTACAAAGCTCCTCAGTATACTGTGGTTCTCCAGACCAGACATGATGTGTGTATATGTGAGCATTTGTTCATTTATACCTGTTTAGATTGGAGCATGTGGATGAGAGAAAATGAGAGAAGAATTTCGCTCTCTTCACCCACACTCTCCATTTTGTGTTAAAAAAGCCCCAAACCAACATGAATAATATACATGAATGTTCTTTGTCCGATAGCTCTCTGTTTCTGAGATAGATCTGAACAATTTGGTAATCCTCAAGGAGCTGTTGGAGGGAGGGTGAATTCCCTTTGTCTTCATCCTTTGCATTTATCTGGCTTTGCATTTGAAAGGAATTTATTAAATACTGTAATGGGGAGGGCAATTTGGAGTGGGTGTTAGGTACTCACCTATTCCCTGATCCTGATTTCCACTCCAACCACATTTCTTTAAGCAGGTACGCCCCCTTTGGAGTTAATTAACTAGGATCAGAGCACATCATATTCCAACTAATAACTTTAAAACATATATTTATATTTTAAAGTTATTAATTAGAACATGAGGTACTGTGATCCTACTTAATTCTGTCCTGACTGGCTAATTAGGGTAACAGGAGACGGAGCTCTGATCCTTCCTCTACCAGTACCTCCAAGAACCAGTACTTCTGTGAGGGAAATTCCTTGACACTTCTATTTGTGCAGGTGTGTCACTGAGGAATCTGCCATCCATTGTGCGGAACACCAGAAAGAGTTGGGAAAGAAGCCACATTTGTTCCTCTACCAGCTTATCCAAGGCTCAGCGCTGTGAGGGATATTCCATAGCACTTTCCCTTGGAAAGGAGAAGTGAGGTGAAAAGGCTGAGAAATCTCAACACTCCTCATAGCTGTACAACAATTAGTAAGCTACTTGTTTCCTTGCAGCTGTATTTTCCCCTCATGCTGCCAGGGTTTAATGATAGCAAGAAGACAGTATGTATATGTAATCCTATTGTTTCTTTTTTGTGTGTGTGGGGAACTTTTGAGGGCTGTTTGAGGGGAATAATGGCTATATTCTACCATTCTGACCAGCTAAGTGCAGAGTCTTTCTCCAGAGTAAGGTCCAGACAACACATTATATCTACCACATGATTTATTTATTTATTTATTAGTTAGATTTCTACCTCACCCTCCTGGCTGAGGCCCGCTCAGGGAAGTTTACATAAAAACAGTATGATATAAAAATGACAAGGATTCTTAAAACCATAAATATAATAATACAATAAAGTGCCTTTTCACCCCGTATGACAGCTGCAAGTTTCCTGTGTGAACTCTATTTAGAAGCTCTTTAGAGATCTGATTAGGATGGGGTGGTGGTGTTTGCCCCAAAGGGGAGGGTTAATTTTGCTTTATTTTGCGCATCAAATAACACCTACCAGGCCATATTGGTCAGGAACACAAGAGTGAACTAGTTTAATATTAGATATGGTAGAGATTTTGTATTTTTGTACACAATGTACATCTGTGTATCCTCTGCTTTGTTATGAAGCATAATCTGAAATTAAAATTTTGACTTGTAGTATATTTGGTTTTACTATGATGTGAGCCCCCTTCTCCTTTACACCTTCCTGATCTGCTTTGTGGTACTGAGATATGTTTTGTTAATCATTGCCTTTTTATGCTACTAGCCTCAGCTAATGCATATGCTTAATAAGCCAGTAATTTGGTCTGCTTGTATATGTCCAATGTTGGAAGTATGCTTGCTATGCAGGGGTGGTTTTTGAAGAGCACATCAACACATATGAAGCTGTCTTCTACTGAACCAGACTGATTGGTCTATCAGGTTCAGGAGTATTTAAGGGCAGTGGCTGTCTAAGGTCTCAGGCAGAGGGTTTTCAAATCACTTACTATGTGATTCTTTTAACTGGAGATGGATGGACCCTTCTACATGTAGAGCACGTGAGCCATCTACCACCGAGCCATAGACCCTCCTCTGAGTCTTGTGCGTGTGTGGAAAGCACTTCCATGCATTCACCAGGGATGCTGATTTGTTTCCACCACTGTTGCTATCCCTTGCTCTGCCTTGAATGATGTTCTAGGTGTTTCCCCAAATTCAGAATCAAAATTCAGAATACACTTTGGAATGGTGTGTGCATGAACACAGGTATGGGGCCATAGTGGACACTGACCTATAAAGTCCCATTCCTTGAATAGAGCACTACAGTGCATTATGGATCTCTGTACTGTGTGTGCATGCTGTATGCCAACAGGGCATTATACCATGCAAGTGATAAGACACTTGGGCTGAAGTGTGATTCTTGTTTGGTCCCATAGCATGTATTGCTATATAACTTCTAGTGTCAGGTTCCAGCTTTGGTCTAAATTTATTAAAATAAATAGTTTAATTAATTGAATAAAAGATCAGATCCAGGGTATATTGATGCAAAAATTGTAATCTTAAAAAACAACTGAAAGCAGGAGTTGCAATAATGCAGAACAGAAGTGAAGTGGTGTGAGAGGAATGATGAAGAATTAAGAAGTGTTCCATGATTTGCTCCTCCTCAAGAAATGGGGCCAGATTCATACATGACCCTTAAAGTGCTCTTTAGCCCTTGAAGGAAATGAACTTGGATGGTTAACAGTGGACATAGTGGCCACAATTTGGCACATAATTAAATATGCTTAAGCCAGTAGCAATAATTGGATGCTTTTAACTTGTAGTTGGAATATGGCCAGCAATTTTAGTCCAGTAGGGTTGGTGTCTTGAGGAAAAGTAGATGAGACACTGGTCGACTTTTTTTTAAAAAAAAGATAAATAGCTGTCCCATAGAGTCCCAATTCAAATTGGGTGGGAATTAAGCTTTTGTCTCCATGCAGTTTTCCAGCTTCAGTCATCCATCTGGAGTGCTCTGTGTACCATCATATAGATGTCTGTATGTTTCTCTTTGGGGCAAAAAGTAGTTCTGAAAACCCAAATTGAGGTCAGGAACCTGCCCAGTGATCAAACTGGGACCCTTGGAGCTGCTGTTCAGTCATGGATCGCCTAATTTCATGTCTAATATTCAATTCTCCCACTAGATATGATGGGGGGGATTAACATACTCATGTGTCCTTCCAGTAGTAAAGTGGTAAGTGGTATGAAGGAGAAGTCTCTTGAATTTAACAAACAATTAAGCAGACAGTTGTGGGAATTTATTCCCTGATCCCTTCACTGTTTTACTTAATTCCTTTGCTTTAAACATTTTTCTTACAACCTGCCTCTCTTCAGGTGTTAGAATTAGTCTGGGAGAAAATGCTTAAAGAACTGAGCACAATGGATGTTAGGGGAAAGAAGGGACATAGTTTGGTTACCATCCCTGTTATCTCTGTTTTCTGTGTAAAAAATACGCACAGTACTTGTGAATGTAAGGAATGGGAGTTCTTGGTTGGATCATCCTATTATGTCTTGTTTGATATATGCACATACATGAAGAGGCTCTTCCTAGCAACTTCTAAAACTTCCCTATGTTTAAGAACATTATAGTTATGAAACTAGGGAAACTGCCAATATGCTCTCATTCATATACTATTGCTTGTGTACATGTAAAATGCATAGCTAAACTGCAGTATAAAAGTAATAGTGGTAAAAAACCCCATTAATAATATTTATTTGTAATTGTCAAAAGGTTATTCACAAGGAATAATCCATAGCTTTTCTGAGTAAAGATGGCACTATTCTTAATTTCTGTGGCTGTAATACCATTATGCATTCTGCCCTTTATATACTGTATCCAATACTGTATTTTTAGCAAAAAAAAAAAAATCCTCCCCGAAACAAAGTGGTTATTAGATATTCTGGATTAGAGAAATGTAGTGTCATTGTTAAAAATTCTCTTTCCCCCAGTCATTTATTCATTTTCAGTTTGTTCAACACTTTCAAAAAGATTTCTTGTGGCCCAGACCCGGATAGCTCAGGCAAACCCGATCTCGTCAGATCTCAGAAGCTAAGCAGGGCTGACCCTGGCAAGTAATTGGAAGGGAGACCTCCAAGGAATACCAGGGTTGGGATGCAGTGGCAGGCTATCAAACAACCTCTCTGAAAAACGTCCAAGCCCCCTGTAGGGGTCACCAGAAGTCACCATGACTTCCAGACATGCAAGCACACACACAAATACCCACCTCCAAAAAAAGTATTTTAAAAGGCTTCTTGTATTTGGGGACATACATGATGTTATTAATTCCCCTCAAACTTTTCTTGGCATGTATTTAGAAATTACAGAAGATACAACAAGACTTCCGAAAGCTAGCAGAAGAGAAACAGATAATGGAGGATGAACTTCAAAAGATGAAAGCTTCAGATATAACTGTGAGTGTAATAACTGTTATGAGAACAAAATATGGAAAATAGACTTCACGGGAAAATAAGGCTTCAATATGATGTTCCAATCACCTAAACTTTGTAATATACAGATCTTCGACGTGGTCTCTGTGCTTCACACCCATGGGATACAGTGCACCTGCGCTGGATTGATTGGCATTGTAGCAAGCTCTAACGGATTTTCGCGCCCAGACCTCAGGCATGCTGCAGGAACCCCCACCACGCATGCCCAGAGGGGAGGGCATGGACATCTCACCAGTTCCTTTCTTTCTGCCTTTCCGGAAGCATCTTTCCTTCGTCGGTCAGATTGGTAGCTATTTTCCTCAGAGGCTCTTCGGATTTCTCTTCAGTTTTTCCTCTTACTTTTCACCTTTCCTTCACTTCTTCGTTTTTTATTTAAATTTTTTTAAATTTAGTTTGAGGGGGAAGTTTTTCGTCCTACCTCAGTTTGGCCTTCGGGGCCCCCCCCACACACCTCTCTTTCTTTTCCATCCATTTTATTTTATGGAGAAAAGGTGGGGTTTTTTTCAAACGTTGTAAAGGGTGCAGCTGTAAGCTCGCTCCGCTGGACGGCCACACTCTTTGTATTTTTTGTCTCGGTGAGATGCACTGACTGGAATCCTGCAGGCATTGTGCCAAGTTCTCCAATCAAACTAGGAAGAACCGAGTGGCGCATCTCCGGGTGGCGTTACTAGAATTGGTGCTAAATCCCCCTTCCGCCATGGATCCAGAAGTACCAGTGAGACCATCGACATCGACAGCTCCAGCTTCGTAATCCTCATCCAACATCATCCAGTCGATATCGAAACGTCCAGTACCGATGGCTCAGTCTTCTGCGTCCACTCCCGTGAAAAAGAAAAAGGAGAAATTGGGTAAAGAGCACAAGTCCGCCAAAAAGGGTTCCTCTAAGGCCCTAAAGGTGTAGAAGGAGGGAAAAGTCGCGGGTTCTGCACTGGGTAATGCCCCTAAGGTGCTCCCCGTTCCGACAACAGTATTGGCATCAGAAGCTCCAGTCGCTCCACCGATACTGACCATCCAGCTGATGGACTCTCCAATACACCAGCTAGACCACGATACGCTGGTCGACGTGTGTCCTTTCTCCGACATCAATAATGTTAAGATCCTCAGTCATCCCCATGGCATGGATTGTTCTCCCTCTGCTCAGTCATCGACGTCGACAGTCTCAGAGTTCTGCACCAATATCGATGCAGGTCGGTATCGACAGATCCCTCCAAACACTCAATGTCATTCTCCCCGTCTGTTTGCTGAAGATCGGTCTTTCGATATCGATGATCGGGCTGATAGGGGCCGTTCATGGAGATGAGATACTACGCTGTCTCCAAGACATTCCCGCTCTAGGAGTAGATCCCCTCGATTCTTCCTACCCCCACCACCTCCTGCCCTCTCCTGGGATCACCGTCAACTACGTTATCTCTATGGAGCTTATCCACCCGCATCTATGCCGTGGTTGACTCCAGCAGGTTACTCAGATTGAGATCGCTACTCTACTCACAGATCACGGTCACCCCGTAGATCAAGGCCGACACCCTCAGTTTCTCTTTCCCGGCCTCTGGGTCATGCATCTGATGATCCTCCTCGACATCGACCAGATCAATATCATCCTCTCAGTCCCCCTATCCCACTGTCAACAGATCCAACCAGTCAGATCAAAACCACTCAGGTACAATTAACAGAGCCCGATTCCTCTGTCTCTGCAGATGAGGATTCGGAAAAGGGGGTTTCAGATGTACACAGCTCCCCTGACCAGCCTTCCCCGAACCAGGCAGTAGCCGATTACCAACCTATATCTCCATCTGAGATATATCTCCCACGCTTTGTGGGAGAGGCTCTCCGAGCTCTTGGCAAACCTTCCAGAAGATAAGCGTCAGGCAGCCCGCATCATCCAAAAGGAGGGCATGGTGCTGGCAAAACAACAAATTAATACCTTTAAACATGCCCTAGACACCTGCTCGAGGACAATGGCTTCAGCCATAGCTCTCCGAAAACATTCCTGGCTATGTAACACCAATCTACAGCCAGATACAAGAACATACATAGAGGACCTCCCCTTCGATGGCCTTGGTCTTTTTAATACTACAACAGACACCATATTACAAGACATGGACAAAAGCATAAAAGCTTCTCGTGCTCGGGGCGTTTCTTCATCCACAAGGCAGCAATACCGGCCTCATCCCTGGTCTAGACCCTGGGGAAAAATGTAGCCCAAACCGTCAGTCTCTTGAGCGGCAATGGAGGCCACGTACATCTTCTGGAGCCAGAAGCCCACATTTCAGAAACCTAGATTTGGATCGGGACAACAATCCTCCCACAGTAAGCAGGCAAAGTCCGCCAAACAGGATTTTTGACTTCCATGTCTTCCAGTCACATCCCACCCGTCTAACCCCCTTCCTCCAAACTTGGCGCCTCATCACCGTAGACGAATGGGTGCTGTCCATCTTGACCCAGGGTTACCACATAGAATTTATTTAGAACCCCATTACTCCTGTCTTCATCTCCACACCCCCTTCTCCAGTCCTTCTGGAAGAAGTGTCTATCCTTCTGCACAAGGGAGCCATCGAGCTGGTGCCACTTCATCTACAGGGCAGGGGATTCTGTTCCCGCTCTTTCACCGTTCCAAAGCGGGATGGAGGTGTTCGACCAATCTTAGATCTACGGTGTCAAGATAGCTAGGCTTTCTTGTGGGTTAACAGGAGACTTGAGCACACAGGAGCCAACTTAAAACAATGGTCAAAAGAGAGAAATACAAAATCCAGCTACAAAACACATCAGAGAGTACAACAAAATAATAAACACTAACTCAAACTACCTGTGTTCTATAGCGCAGTTTTCAGGAAGCATAGGCCATAAGTCACAATGAGGAATGTGGCTTCACGTCGAGGTCTGCAAACACGAACCGCATACAGGAGTTCCCAGAATCTCCTAGGCTAAATTTCCCCCCAGAGAAGGTATCAAAATATACTCTTTTTCCCTTTCAAATATCAGCTGCCCCCACTTTACGGTCAAAACAGTTTTTCCAAATAGAGTTAATTGGTAGGTCTGTCCTGTCCTTAGAATCAGCACCTTAACAATAGCAAACTTAAAACAGCTGCACTAGGAAGAAGGCTAACATACTGTTGCATCACTTAACCCTTCATAGGCACTTTTGCTTCACATACGGGCACTAAACTGCTTTGTGAGCTACCACCGCTTCCACATGGTATCTTTGCAGCAGATTCTGCCACTTCTCCAGAAGAATGTCTGGATGGCCACCCTTGACCTCCAGGACGCGTACTTTCACCTGACCACCCACCCTTCCCACCGCCAATACCTATGCTTCGCAATTGGTCAACATCACTACCGATATGCAGCTCTGCCATTTGGCCTTTCAAGTGCACCGAGAGTCTTCACAAATCTGATGGTGGTGGTCGTGGCCTTCCTTCGTCTCAAGGGTATCTCCATCTACCCATACATTGAAGATTGGATCTTGGTTGCGACTTCCAGGGATGCCCTAGTCTCAAACATCAACGAGACGCTAACCCTCCTGGGAAACTTGGGTCTACAAGTAAATCTGGAGAAGTCTCAACTTCAACCGGTCCAGAAAATACACTACATTGGTGCACTACTAGACTCCACAAATTGCACAGCCTACCTGCCCCAAAACAGATCCACCGACATTATCTATCTAGCCACTGTGATGCGTACTCGGCCTTCAGTGACGGCTTTTCAGATACAAAGGCTACTTGGCCTCATGGCCGCTACTACATCACTCCTGGTTTTTGGCAAGTTGAGAATGCGCCACCTGCAACTCTGGTTTATCCGCAATTTCAATCCAGAGTGAGACACACACTCGACCCATCTATCCCCACCTGTCAAAGTACGAGACTCTTTACTTTGGTGGACCGCCCCTTCCAACCTTTTCCAGGGAGCACCCTTCCATCCTCCATCAACCCAAATTACCCTGACTACAGATGCCTCTCTCTCGGGCTGGGGTGCCCACATGATGGGACTTTCTGTTGGAGGCAGATGAGACACACAGAAATAGAACCGGCACATTATTTTTCTGGAACTGCTTGCAATACGGTTCGTTGTGGGTTAACAGGAGACTTGAGCACACAGGAGCCAACTTAAAACAATGGTCAAAAGAGAGAAATACAAAATCCAGCTACAAAACACATCAGAGAGTACAACAAAATAATAAACACTAACTCAAACTACCTGTGTTCTATAGCGCAGTTTTCAGGAAGCATAGGCCATAAGTCACAATGAGGAATGTGGGAAGCATAGGCCATAAGTCACAATGAGGAATGTGGCTTCACGTCGAGGTCTGCAAACACGAACCGCATACAGGAGTTCCCAGAATCTCCTAGGCTAAATTTCCCCCCAGATAAGGTATCAAAATATACTCTTTTTCCCTTTCAAATATCAGCTGCCCCCACTTTACGGTCAAAACAGTTTTTCCAAATAGAGTTAATTGGTAGGTCTGTCCTGTCCTTAGAATCAGCACCTTAACAATAGCAAACTTAAAACAGCTGCACTAGGAAGAAGGCTAACATACTGTTGCATCACTTAACCCTTCATAGGCACTTTTGCTTCACATACGGGCACTAAACTGCTTTGTGAGCTACCACCGCTTCCACATGGTATCTTTGCAGCAGATTCTGCCACTTCTCCAGAAGAATGTCTGGATGGCCACCCTTGACCTCCAGGACGCGTACTTTCACCTGACCACCCACCCTTCCCACCGCCAATACCTATGCTTCGCAATTGGTCAACATCACTACCGATATGCAGCTCTGCCATTTGGCCTTTCAAGTGCACCGAGAGTCTTCACAAATCTGATGGTGGTGGTCGTGGCCTTCCTTCGTCTCAAGGGTATCTCCATCTACCCATACATTGAAGATTGGATCTTGGTTGCGACTTCCAGGGATGCCCTAGTCTCAAACATCAACGAGACGCTAACCCTCCTGGGAAACTTGGGTCTACAAGTA